TTGCACAGCATAAAAACTTGGCAAAATATTATGAATTGTGATCTTTTCACAGATCCTTTCATGCTTTCGAGCCCTGGCCGGACCAATACTCATGGTCTTAAAATAGCGGAGGAGAATTTGCTACCTTTCTATAATATCAAGAAATGGATAGATATTCTAGTCTTCTCAGATAAGGACGAATAAACCGTAGGCCCCATCTCCCTTAGGGTTAGGGGTAGGAGACATTAATTTCCCACGCACGAGATTATTGTGTGGTGGATGTCCTCCCCTGGGGTGGGATGGGTGGGTGTTCACAGGGCCCCATTTAAACTAGCTATCTGCTAAACTTGGCTACCCTGTATAAATATTCGTAAATACATACATATTCATGTGAGGGAGTAGCCGATACTGTTGAATAGTGCTCAATACACGTGTGCAGAGCTTAATACAGTAGGTAGCGATCAAACAAGACTACACATGGTTTCTGTTACTCAGAGTTTCGTGCTTACGCACTCATCAGACAGATTTATACATACATACAAATACATGCTTTTTTTAACAGGGAATTAGTCATGATTTAATTTTGTGTGCGGTTAGCCAATCAAACCCAAAGCTGAAATATTTTACACTGTGGCAATTATGGACACACTCGAAACTGTAAAGGTTGCGAAGAGGTTTGCTTGTGCCAATGAACAACAATAAGGGCATTTTGGAAAATTAGAGTAGGGGTTTGCTCATGGCTGGTTGAAAGATAAGACCCCCCATATTTCAAAATGCTCTGCTGCCTCTGGTCATATGAATGTTGTCTAAAGTGCACAAAAAAAAAGTTCTTTCTTTTTAATGAAAACAAGTCTAAAGGTCACACAAAGAAGGTAAATGGGATCCAACTTTACAGGCCATGCCATGTCAATTCAACCCATATTTTTTATACTATAAACTTTTTATGCTCTTAGTTCACAGAATTGTCTTTTTTTTGTATCACGTGATTCCAGAGAATGAAATACAAGGGAAAAATGTATTGTGTATCATACAGTGATTTGTTTCTTTTTTCTTTTTCCCAAGGAGTCACAATTTAGACCCCAAAACAGTAATAGCTGTGGCAGTTTTGGTGGGTGCAACAATACTGTGGATGCTGTTAGGTCACATTCAGCAGTTCTCCTTGCGCCAGTTGTTGCGTTATAGAGCATTTTTGTATGAACCAAGAGGGTAAGGTTACTTGACTTTTAATTTGTGATTGAGAACTTAAGATATTAAAACTTGATGATAAAAAAATTACTTAAAAAAACGGTTTTAATTTTTTTGTCGTAGGAAGCTGTCATTTAAAACTAAGTGCTGGCTGGTATGTTTCCTTTACTTGACATGTTTAGTGTTTGTATTGAATATTGTTTTGCATTATTAGTATGATCATAATACTAATACTACTAATTGTGACTTCAGGGATTAGTAAAACTCCTTGGAGGTAAGAACCCCACTTTGTACAGTTATGAGAAGTCTCTACCATCCTTGCCTGTTCCAGATCTCAATGCCACTACGGAGAGAGTAAGTTAGAAGTTAGAAAATGATTTCTCATTTTTTTAATTATTACTTTCTGATCATAAAAGAAACCCAATATAATAACTAGAATTGTTTGATTTTTCAGTACTTGCGTTCAGTCAGACCTGTTCTTGGGGAAGAAAGATTTAAAAAGATGGAAACATTAGCGGAAGAATTTAAGGTTTGAGAGAGCTTTAAATCGAACTTTGCTGTTAGAAATATCACCTATTTCTGTTTATTTGCAGTTTATATTAAAAAATTAACCATATGCTAGAACAATATTCTTTTCACCCTTAATGACTTATAATTTTGACTGGCTATTGTAAGCTTTGAAATTTTATTCTGGCAGCCAACTTTATTTTCAATTTTTTATTCAGTTATAATTAACAGATTTTTTAATTATTTTGATTCTGGATATTTTACTCTATTGTATAATTTGGCTGTAATTTATTGCAGCAGTTTTATGTTAATTCTCAGGGAGTTTATAACTAAGAAGTTGATATGAGTTGATGGATTCAGTTTTCAAATAACTGATTCATTAATAGTCTTCATTAGTAGCCTGGTTTATTTGGCTGCAAGTAGGTTTCTTAACACACCAAGCACAGCTCTTCCTTCCATACATTTGTGATCTAAGGCAGCTTTGACACATTTTGTAATATTACGGTTCTTTAGAATGGTCTTGGAAAGAAGCTACAGCGCTACTTGGTTTGGAAATCTTGGTGGTCCCCAAACTATGTATGTTATTCCTTTGACTGTCTTTTTTATTACCCTCAAGGTCTCTGTCGATTGGGGGCTGGTTATAATGCTGGTATTAGGATTATAATTTACTTCTGTCAGTGTTAAGATTTTTCGATGAACATTGACTGTTATTATTCAAAATTAGTAATAAGACATACACTGGACCTATCAGTGATTTCTCACACTGGAAGTTTTAATTACCTTTTTAAATTGATTTGTGTTTTGTCATGGAATCTTTGTGAACTGGCCTCATATCTGTCCTAAACTACACACTTTGTCTATGTTTCTATTGCGTATATTTTTTTTCCCCTCAGTTATTACATCTACTGTTATTGATCAATTTACAATAGAATACAGCCTGTTATTTTGAACAATGACACCATGCACATGCATTAACTGAGAAATTTATGTCAGTGTGGATATAATTGATGTTTAACTAATTCTGTGTATGACTTAAATAGATCAGTGACTGGTGGCAGCAGTTTGTGTATCTTCGCTCCAGAGAACCTCTTATGATCAATAGTAACTACTATGGAGTGGTCAGTATCTTTCATCTTGTGGTTTTATATAAATTGTGATGTAGATACACAGAACTTGTACAGACGTAATTTACAAGTGAATTCTGCGGATGATCAACAACTGGTGACCATTGCCAGTTAAATCTGTAATTGTATAGGGTCTCACAAGCAAGTTTAGTCATCAGTTTAAGATATAACCAAAAGACATGATATTGATCGAAATCTAGATTCCATACACACAATTTACTTTCAACCAAACCTGCTCACTTTAAATCTTGAGGAAATCCATGTTGGTCAAGGTACCTGTGAACACACATGTGTTTCTTACCTTTGTGTAAACTCTTTTTTTACAAAACTTAGATTAGCCCTACAGATCCTGTATGTTTTTCTATTAACTGCTTAAAAATATTGATGAGAATTTTTCCCACCGAATTTGCTTTTGCTAAGTTCCTTTTGTACATTAATAATAGCCACATTTGACCTATTAAGTACTGGAGCTGTATAAATCTCTTGGGTAGACTTAAATGATTGCAAAATGAGATGTCAGTTATAAATGACCTTTCTTTTACCAAATGGTTTTATCCAGGACTCTATGGAGGTTCCATCACCAATACAAAGTGCAAGAGCAGCCAACATCATTCATGCCATGTATGTGTATAGAAAACAGATCTTCAAGGAAAAACTGGAACCTGTAAGTTCAATTAATTAGCACTTGATACAATAATTAAACAATGAAGTGTTTCTGTCGAGGAACTATCGGCTGATAGTTGTTCCATGGAAATTTGATGTTCTTAAAACAAATATGCTAGTTTAATTTAAGAACATCAAATTTCCAAGGGGCAACTATCAGACCGATAGTTCCGAGACATAAACACTCTATGGTTAATTTATTGTTCACCACTAAATTTTCTTCCGTGCCTACAGCTTGTCACAAATGTCAATAATTCGCAACTGTACATTGGCTAAATAATATGTTATACCTGTCAGAATTGAAAAGTCACTGTTTTTCCGATCTGCCCAGCTTCGTGGCCGTCAAACTATTCAAAACTTTTCACGGATGAGTACTATCAATCCAGGTATTTTCTG